TAGCGGGACTGGCCTGAGGGATTTTAAAGGGGGTTTTAATTACTTTTAAATTGGACATATTTAAATATTTCGTTTTAATCAAATTTTAATTAAGTATGTATATATGTTAGTATTTTATTCAATTGTCAGCCGCCCTGAGTCCGTAAGGAGAAGGGCGGGATATAAATGCAATTAATAAATAAATAAATAAATAAATATTTTTTCAGGCCCACCCAACTGCTATATTATTTGGGGGGGGGGGGTGGAGAGGTGTTACAATAAAGAATTGCAGTCAGATGCTACATTTGTGACCCTGCACACTCTGAAACATCCTTCTGCAACCAAATCCAAAACATAATTATGAATTTATATAAATATCTAAATAAGCATTATGTATTTTTGAAACACAGAACAGATAGTAAGTAAAATTCATTTATTTGTAAATCTTATCACCTAAATCTAGAGGAGATTTATTTCTAGGGTAGCAATGCATAATCAGGAATATTACGAACACTTACGGAATTTGGGAACTTGAGTACACATAAATAGCAATGCACTAAAAGACCATCTTTAAAAAAAGCTGTTCTACTTACCCCTTCAGCTAGTTCAAAGAGTGGAACTGGTTTTCCTTTATAATTTGAAATCACTATCTTATCACCAACAGCTGACGTTGTTACCAAAAAATTATCTAAAATAAGAGTCATGGAACACAACATGTGTTTTTGTTTACACAAAATTGTTTCAGTTGGGAAGAAAATCTCTTCTAAGTAGGTATTTAATCACAAACATTTCCAATTGAGAGAACTGTACTTTTTTCAAGAGTTACTTAAAAAAGATATAATTTATTTTGACAATGAACAGAAATTATGAAAAGTTTATAAAAATATTCTATTTCTGAAAAAAAATATAAAGATGTGGCATTTGGTATTTTATCATTATTCAAGATTTTATGATAAGCTGATGATGTTTACAATATTTTCTATTCAACCCAATGAAACTATTTGTGTCTTTATTTTTCTTACTATCATTTTCTCAACATCACATTTCTGACTGAATTTGAAAAGTATATAGAACAAAATTCTGAATACCTGTGGCTTATTTATAAACTGTTAATAAAATAAGACACAGGAACAAAACAAGCCAAATATGGTATGATTAAATTTAAAGAAGACAATTAAAGTGCAACATGGGAATATCTATGGAAGATAACTATCAAATTTACTGCAAATATTAAACCCGAAGAAAATTATATATGAGTGATGTTTTTTTACAGATAGGTTAAGCTGATGCTGACTGCCAAAATAGGTAATTCATATAAAGAATTGTAGGAAATGTAGGATCATTGGTGTTTTGATTTGTTTTTTGTATTTGGTGGCAATATCACAAAGCTCAACAATTCTAGAAGATGCTTCATTGTAAAAAAAAATCTAAATATCAACTTTTTAAACAACTTTTTTTTGTTAAGTACTACTAAGCCTCATATTCCTACAAAGTATGTAGAATTTGCTTTGTATATGATAACAGATGTTAGGATACTTTATTTTTCTTATTGGAAATGGTACATAATAACATCCTTATAGCTATGGCAATATGCTTCAATGTAAAAAACAACTTTATATTTAAAAAACAATCTTATGCTTATTTAACCAAAAAATAATTCATGGGTTATAATTCTGCACATGACTTGTATTAGATCTGACGCTTGGGTTTATTCAAACATAAGGCTTTTTAAAATATTAGATTTTGCCTGTTTCATTATAATGACAGATTTTTTTCAGATTAGATAAAACCTCCAACTGTTTATTGTGATTGATGATTCTTATTAGATTAGTTGCCTCTGATAATTACCGAGTATTGTTTTGATTTTAATAATGGTTTCAACATGTCAAATTGATATAAATCACTTTTATATGTGGCATTAATCTAATGGTATCTCAAAAATTCTTAGTTTTTATACAGCTTTTAAATATTTTTCTCTTTTGTTCTTTGTTTCTTGCTTGCATCTTCAAATATTTATCCTGGGAAAAAGCTGGCTAAAAACTTGCTCCTTAAATATTTTTGAGCCAGTACTTTAGTAGCAGAAACTCAAAAGATACATCCAAGTTTTAGCTATGAAGTTTACTGGTGAATGGGCAAAGAACTCCAAGCACAACTGCAAAATTAGATCGCTGTTTCTAGCTCAGGGATTTCCTTATACATAAAGCATTGTGTGCCATACCACAAAGAACTTCAGCTTTGAAGCATTTAACTGATGCAGGCACATAGTTATTCCTATCACAGCTTACCTATCTGGTTATTGCATTGGAAGCTTTTTGTGCTCAGTGTGAAGTTTGAATAGTGACATTTTTCAGGAGGCAGAGACTGAAAATAAATGCCTAAGCATTTTAAGGCCTTTACCTTCTCAAATTTGTTGTTTTTAATTTTTCAGATAAGCAGGTGATCAGTGTATCGCCTAGCTCTTTGTGAACACTGCAACATACTCTATGTTGGACTGCCCGTGATATGTGTTCATAAAACTTGTTGATCTAGAACACTGCAGTCAAAACATTGAACCAGAAAGATTAGGAAAACCCATGGCAATCCATGATACCTAGACACAAGTAGGTTGTTCTTCTGACAACCATTCATGGCATTAATTTTAGAAGGTTTAGCCATCTCTAATTCTGCATATAATCAGGCCATCTTGACTTCAATATGCAATATTCTTGTTCTCCATTAGTTTAACAACAACCATATAGCATTTCAGGTATACAAAAGTAACCAGAAAACGTCTGGCAATTAAGGAAGCAGATTATTTCTGAGTGGCTTATGCTAGGCAAATAAACTACGGAAATTGGGAAAGCAATTCTAAGTTATTAGGTAATGTGTCATAGAAAGTACAGGACTCACTACCATAGTTTTAAAAATGAACCTTCACCTAGCATGAAAACTGATACTACATAAATTTTATTCAAACCAAATAATAAAAATGATACTGTAAAGGAAATATTTACTTTCAATATCAAGGAGTATCTCCTTCTCATTCATAAGAAACAAGAAGTTGAACGAGAAAGAAACTCAGACTTAATCCAGACATATCAGTTCTATACTGAACAGGCCATCCATGTTATTCTTTAACATTGCTATAATACAACAATATGACTCTATCAAATATGGCTGTATAAACCTGATAACATTCCACCTAAATGAATTACTCAAATTAGAAATGTATATGAAGAACTAAAATGACAGTTGAATTAATTTTTTATTTATTAATTTATCAATTCATATCATTTATATATTCTGTTTTATAGCACAAGTGCAAAGCACTTAGAGGAGTTTGTTATTGTTGTTGTTGTTAAGGCCACTACTTCATTTCCTTCATAATTTTAGGTAGTTCTGCAGGATAACAAAAGCAAATGATTATATCATATGGAAAATAACAGAAATATTTTAAGAAGGACATATTCTAATATACAGTATGTGGTTTCTTCAGAGCTCTGAACTGAAGTTAAATGGATATACAGGTAATCCTCAACTTACAACGGCAATTGCTACTATATCTGTTGCTAAATGATGTAGACATAAAGCTTAATATCATGTAACTGCACTGCTTAGTGCCAGTAACCCGAGTACTCCCCTTTGCCATTGCTATATGAACTCCACTAGTTAGTTGAGGACCCACTCCAAGCCGAGCGATTTCTCCAGAATGAAGGAGAATATACATATCCCAGGATAATGGTGCAGGTTACAATCTGGGTCAGTCACCGAGACCAGAGGTTTTGTCTTCCAAGCTTTTGGACTTTGCTGGAACCCATCTTCAGGGAACTTTTCTCTAGCAGAGTATGTGCTATTCTATGTGTGGTGTTTGTAGAGCATGTGGCAAATGGCTTTTTAGATGTTGATTGGGGTGTATTGATGCCTGGCTTTTAAGTATTTAGCTGTCGTTTGCTTGTGCTGCTCAGCCCTCATCTTTTAAGTTCTTGATAGGCTGGTGGTAAATCAGCTCTCCTGTTGACTGACAAGGGGCCGGTTTCCCAGGCTTCAATCACTTCCCTGGCCGTTTTTGTGTCTGCTCATCCAACAATCTTGGTAGCTGCAAAATTGAAAGTGTGTCCTTGTTCATTGCAGTGTGAGGCTACCGAGTTCGGATCTCCTTGTCTAACCGCTCGCTTGTATTCTTGCAATCTAACGGTTAGCTGCCTCCCCGTCTGTCCTACATAGTCACAGGGGCAATCATTACATCGGCTGTATCTCCCACCTCCAAGCCATTTCTGCTTGATCCCTCCCAGGACAAACCTCAGTTCTTCCAAATAAGGGACTGCTTCCCCTTCAACTCCATTACATAACCCCCCCCCCATTTCTGTCCTTTTGTCGAAACTGCACTGTGCCTTGTGGGTCAGCAAGCAGCCCCAGAACCATGAGGCTTTGGGTTACTTGCTATGTCATGCTCCTCCACCCCAACTCACCTTCACCATCTTCCTGTTCCCACTGCTGACCAAGCACATCCGGCCTGGCCCTTGTGTGGATACACAAGGATTTCTGCCCGAAGACTGAGAGGAGTTGGGCTTCCTTTCCTGCAGCCCCAAAGCCACAGTGCACCAAGAGGCCCCAGAACCACAACTCAGCTCAATCTTTGGGAAGAAAGCCTTGTGTCCAGCAGCTGCCTCGTGAAGGCAGACAGGATGTGCTTGGTCAGCAGTGAGATTAGAAAATGGTGAAGGTGAACTGGGGTGGAGGAGCACGTGGAAACCAGATAGCACAATGCAGGGAACTAAAAGGGCAGAAATGAGGGGATGATAAGCAGGTGGGGGAGTTGAAGCACTCTTGTGGTCATAAGTGCTAAGTGTCTAAATTTTGATCATGTGATCCTGGGGAACTGCAACAAATGTAACTTCAGGAACCAGGTATAAGTACCATTTGTTCAGTGCTGCCATAACTTTAAACGGTTGTTGAACAAATTGTTGTAATTCAAAGACTACCTGTATTTTTTTTAAAAAGAGAGAAAATGTACCTTAACATAAGTTCTTTTTTCCTCTGCCAATGGCAGCAACTGAAATATGGAATTCCTTGTAGAAAGAATTTTGAATGGCCATATCTCTGAGGTGTCATAAACAGATAATTAGGACAATTGCTATTAACAAGTAATTATACAGAAATACAGTTTCAAATACTAAAACAACAAAGGATACTGTTGCTACCCCAGCATACTGAATTAACTGGGTGAGAAGATTCATGGGGACTAAACTGATCCACAACAGTTATAGAAGACGAATCCCATATTTTAACATCATCATCTCCTGAAGAAGCAAAACGGACACCTTCCTGCATCTCTACACCTGTAAAAGAAAATTAAAATTATTACAAATATATTTCCATTAAATATTACTCTACCTGGCAAACCAAAAAAATGTGGTTTGTTGCACTTGAGAGAATGATAAACCTATAAAGTATAAATAAGATTAATACAACTTGTGGCAAACATTTGTTGCCAGATATTATCGACAGACATGCTTTTTATTGCCACAATATAGTGGGCATATACAACTACAAGTACCATAAACCTAATCATCATCATCATCATCATCATCTCAGATTAATAAACCCAAATGTTTTTCATTAATAACAGCAAAAAGGGGTTGAATATTACAAATATTTATCATCTTAGTTTTGTTACACTCCAATGCTTCCAAAATGTAATTTCTAAAAACAGTAAATTGAAAAAAATGAATAAAAATGTCTTTGTATTTGAGCCAGATTTGATAACTAATGAGTTGCTAAATCTGTCTGTAAACACTACATTTCCAACCTGATAGATTGTGGGGCATCAAATGTTTCAAGAAAGAAATACTACCAAACAAAACTGGGTCACAAAATATTGACTCAGAGCACAATCATATTGGAGGCTTCCAGACAGACATACTTCAGTTTCATTCATTTGGCTGCTCTAATATAACATATGTGATGGAACAAGAGGGCCAACTGTTACATTTCTCACAACTGGGAAAAATTATTTTCACTGTAATTTAGTGCAAATGCTACTGATATTAGATGGATCATCTATTTTTTTTACATTCACACTTATTCCAATATTCTATCCCATGAATAGAAAGCGTATCTGTATTTTTCTCTGCATCACAGTCTTCCACTCATCTTAGAAGTTTGGGGGGGGGAGGGAGAGAAGGGATAAAGTATTAGTTATCCTCTAGTAAAAGCAACACATGATTTGTCATTACAATAGAACAAAGCCACACCTCTAAAGTTAACCTGGATAAAGCACCACTTTCACTAATAAAGAAGATAGGAATAAGTATTTTTTCTAAGCCACATGTCTAGGCAAAATAATTAAACTTTTTAAAAATATAATTTTACCTTCATTTGAAATTTAAGAAAATATGAAATACCACCCATATACTAAACAATCTGCATCTACCCAGTTTTAACATGCAACAGTATGGTTCAAACACCCCCTCCTTTCCTATGACTGGAGCAAGTATTCCTACTCCAGTTTCTGCCTTCCCATTGGCTGGATTTTTCCTACCAATAATCTGTGACTCTTCAGCAGTTCTCGCCTGGTACAGGTTGATGGAAGTAGGAACGTATTTGGACAGTGAATGCCTTTTGGTGCTGCTAGTCAGACTGGAAGCAGGGAAGGCAGGCTCATTCATGCAGTAGTAAGGATTTAAGAGTGAATCAGCATTAGCCTTGTGACAGTACAATAAAAGTATTTTGTTAAAAGTAATTTTCAAGGTTACAAAAAGAAATCCCAACAGTCACTGTTTGGATACCTAAAACACAAATGAATAGCAACTCTTTTTAAATCTAAAGGTTAATGAGTCCACAGAAAGAACTACAAAGAAATCCTGTAACATGCATATCAAACTTCATGAAATATTTCTGTAGGATGAAAGCCACTCTGCTGCTTGCTTGCACTTGCAAAGCTCCTAGAGAATTTTTGAAGGAAAAAATGTGGGCGAATGTATCGAGGCTGATTTTTTTGTGTCGATGAAATCTCATATACACTGTGTACAAATCTCAAGAGGCAAGGGACACTCCTTTAAAAGGAGAAATGCTTGTCAAGTTGCTTGAAAATCGAGCCAAAAAGGAAAGTATTCAAATTCAGAAAACATTAACTAGCTTCCTTCTCTTCCTTCCTTTCTTCCTTCCTTCCTTCCTTCTTTCCTTTTCTTTCATTCCTTTTCTTTCCCTTTCTTTCTTTCATTTCCTTCCTTTCTTTCTTTCCTTCCTCTTTCTTTTTCTATTAGAAGGTATAGTCCAATGTTTTTGAATTTCTCTGCCACTAGTGTTATATAGAAAAATACTACAGGTGAAACAGCACTGGCAATATTTTCTACTTTAGCTCTTGATTAAAGCACAGACGTATTTCCCATTAAAAGAACATGAAGAGATGAGACTCCTCCTATAAGTGCAGGTCAGGGATCTGGGGTCATTATGAGCTCATAGTGCAAATTAAGGCCATGGCCAGATGGCCTTTGCCAGCTCTCTTTGGTGCACCAGCTGCACTCCAACCTGGGATGAGTTACTCTTTATACGTTAACGCATCCACATTATATGAGTTTGCTTAGATTACTACAACATATCCTACACGGGGCTGTCCCTGAAGACCACTCAGAAGCTATAACTGGTTCAAATGCAGTAGCCCATATATTAACAAATCAAAGTCCCTATAATCATACAATGCCTGCCTTATGGTCATTTACTAATTACCAGACATTTCCAGATAAAAATCAATGCTGGGTTTAATGTACAGGGCCTACATGTTTTGGCCCTGAGATACTTAATAGGTCTGAAGGAGATCATGTTTTTCAGTTGCAACCCCATATAGTGGAATAGAATTCCCTCTTGAAATTAAGTTGACACTTTTCTTATTGGCTTTCCAGAAGCTATTAAAAACATGTTTTGGGAAGTTTTGGGGAATTAATGGACATAAATTGTGCAAACTGTATTACAATAAAATTTTGTATTAATTCTGATTTTAGATTTTTACTATGTTTTTGCTTTTATGGAAATAAATTGCCAATTTGGTTTTGGCACTGTACAAATACAGTAAACAGTTGATAATCTACTTTAAATTTAGACTCAAACACTATAATTACATAAACGTAGTTCAGAAGAATACTACAGTGGCAAGGCCATGATATTGCAGTAAACTCTGCAATCAAAAGCTTATATAAAAATTACAAGCTTGACCTACAAAAACGGCATTAGGCAGATTTATTTTATTTTATGCCACCTGGATCCAAACAACTCTGTGTGGCTCACAATGCACCAGGCAATATAATTAAAAAAACAAAACAAAACAAAGCTAGAACATAAGAAAAAGAATAAGACAGTAAACACTGTAGAACCACCAAATATCCCAACCAAATCTAACATCCAGCAGAGGGAATTCCAGACATCCTAGGCCTGTGGTGGCAAACCTATGGCACGCATGCCACAGACAGCACGCAGAGCCCTGTCTGTGGGCACACGTGCCATCGCCCCAGTCTTAGGCCTTCAGTGCCGTCCATGAGCAACCTGCATCAAAATCTCCCCGGGCATATGGCTTTTTAAGCTGGGTTTTATAAAACCTTTTCGCTTTAGGCCTCACCCGCCATGTGCAAAAAAAGAAAAGTTCAACCAATCAATCCATTTCAACTTCTCGCAGGAAAAAAAAATCTCATTGGAATTGATTGATTGAACTTTATTTTTAGTCCCACACAGTGGCGGAGGAAGTGACGGGGCCATGTCAGAGCTGGAAAGAAGGTACCGCATGAGGGGTGGGGGGCAGCGGCAGGAGCAGCACGCTGTGTGCGAGGGTTGGGTCGGGGTGATGAAAGAAGGGCGCTCTGCAAGGATTGGGTCGGCATGGCGGGAGAAGGGCGCTCTGCAAGGGTTGGGGCAGGGCAGTGGCAGAAGGGCACTCTACAAGGGTTGTGTCGGCTCTGCTCCCCTCACACACCTCAGTACCTACCACGGCCACCAGCGACTAGTGCAAGTTCATTAGACCACCACCCAGAGCTGCATGCCCGCCCAGCATGAAAGAGGTGAAGCGGTCAGCTAGGAAGCCCTGCTTAGAGGTGGTAGAGCACTCCCAGGGCCAGCAGGCAAAAGGCCACCCCGAGCGGGGAAAGCCAGATCCCCATCGGCATCATGGCCACCCAGGCCCAGCAGAGATGGGAGGAGGCACACAAGCCTAGCTGGGACTGGGGGCCATGGCACCGATGGAGATTCGGCTTTCCCCGCTTGGGGTGGCCTTTGGCTTGCTGGGCATGGGCGTGCTCTACCAGTTCTACTCGAGCTTGCTAGCCGGCTGTTTCACCTCCTTTGTGCTGGGCAGGCCAGGTGCTCCAGGCAGCAGTGGTAGCCTAATGGACCTGCACGAGCTGCTGGCACCAGTGGCCCGAGGCACGGCTAAGGTGCGTCAGGTGTGCGAGGGGAACAGGCTCCATGTGCGGACCAAGGGCAAGATCTGCGAGGGAGCCAAGGAAATGACCAGCAGCAACCGCCTCTCCAACCGCAAGCAAAAACAGATGGGACGTAATAGGTGCGTCCGGTGGTCTGCATCACGCGCTTCCCCCCTCCCCTACTCCGCCTGCTGTTGGAGGGCTGACCGGGTATTGTCAGTGGGCTGCGGAGCCCCACAGTGAACCAGTCGAGGGGCCGGCAGGCTGTGGCTGTTGACGGACACTGTTGGCCCCCATGTGCTCGCTCTATGCGGGGGCCGATGGTGTCAGGCAGCAGCCACCCTGGCCCCTGCCTCGCGGCAATGGAACCCCTGCCCTGCCTCCTGCCTTGCCTCCCCTCACCCAGCAGGATGAGCCTCCTGTCCACCGTCCCACCCGCCAGAGACCCCGTGGATCTCCCCCCACCCTGCCCGGCCCCCACAGGCATCCCTCCCCATGAGCAACATCGAGGTGGCCACACCCACCCCGGCCACGCTCACCCAGTCTGCCATGCCCACTGCAGCCATGCCCACCCAGACTGCCATGCCCACCCTGACCACAGCCACCCTGGCCACACCCAGTCTGCCATGCCCACCGGGTGGGCACCTGGCGATACGTAAATGGATTTTGGGTTGCAGTTTGGGCACTCGGTCTCTAAAAGGTTCGCCATACTGTCCTAGGCCAAGAGATGACAAAACAGCCAGATCTTTAAGGTCCTATAGAACCCCAAAAGGCTGAGACTCACCTAAATCTCAGGGAAATCTCATTTTAGAAGGCAGGGGCAGTGACAGAGAAGATATATTTCCTAAGTCTTGATAGATGGCATTATTTAGTCAAGGGCTCCTGGAGTGCACCAATCCCATCAACTCAAATCAGCCAGCTAGACATACAGGAAACAGGCAGTCCCTCAAATAACCAGGCCATGTGCCATGTAAGGTTTTATAAGCAACTTGAATCATACCTGCAAGAAACCGAGCAACCAGTGCAGCTCATGAAGTCCAGGAGTGGCCTGCTTTTGACTGCACAATAAAAACACAATGTGCAATTTTTGGAACTGAGCAGACTAATTGTATATATTTAAATAATGAAAAACTTTTTTGTTGAAATACTATTATAGTCAATCAGTACAATAACTTCACATTTGCAGTATATGGGGAAAAAACATTAGTTTCACAATTTACCTAAATATAATGATCTCTGCACATAAGAAACAACAGTTTTAGTATCTGGCAAATAATGGAGGTACACTTAGGAGCCAGCAAAGAGAGGGAATATGGCTTGAGCTGATGTATGTTAATAAATTATCAGTTTCGTAGAGAATTAATAGACTTCAACATTCTGCATGAGAGAATTCCAAAGATCACAGAGGAAAAATAAGGAATGTTATACTTTTCTCTCTTTGACCCATTAAGTAGGCTGTATCAGTAGACCAAACTACCTTATTTTACCTTCATGTAATTCCATAAAATGTTGTAAAATTACGCTCATCGCAAATTAAGAAACATGTTTGAAATTCCATATGTTATTTACATTTGCCACACAGCACATATATTTGAACTCCATGTCAAAAAAAAATTGTACACAAGACATTTGTTGCTCATAGACCTCTCCCAAAATCGGTGGGAGGCTTTCATTTTAACTGCCTGCCAAGCTATCAATGAAGCAATTCAGCTGATTCCTCTTATGGAAGCACTTGTGTATAAGACATGTGAGGAAGCCATAGCCAGACTCCTAATCAATACACCGAGTCACGTTGAACTCGCATTTCTAAAGATAAACCCTGCTGAATTAAACCAGCTTACTTTAGACCAGGGGTAGTCAACCTTGGCTCTTTTATGACTCGTGGACTTCAATTCCCAGAATTCCTGAGCCAGAGTCAACCTTGGCTCTTTTATGACTCGTGGACTTCAATTCCCAGAATTCCTGAGCCAGAGTCAACCTTGGCTCTTTTATGACTCGTGGACTTCAATTCCCAGAATTCCTGAGCCAGAGTCAACCTTGGCTCTTTTATGACT